ATAACCATCAGTCCATGATCTGCTGCTCCGCCTTGCACACAGACTGAAAATTAGCGCCACTTCTTTCTCTCTCCACACTGTATGAGCGTCTGAGACAGGCTCTGCTACGTTGCCATGGTGACTTGTTCCCATTGTGCTCTTGGAGGCTAAATTCATTTGGAATGGTGCTCAGATTGTAAGCTCTGATGTGTAGCAGCAGGAGGCTCAAAGCGTGGTGCTACGGGTGCCTCCCTGACCCAAGGAGAGTGGGTGGAGGGTAAGTCTACATAAACACACCTTTATCTGCTGCATCCAGACTGAACTACTGAGAGGATGTGAGACTGTGTCCCTCTGTAGCTCGGTCCTTTTTATTGTCTCGTTTTGTGTTGTTTTCTCCTAGTATGGTGCTGCTCAGTTTTGGTTAGAAGTCATTACTTCAGCACCATCAGAACTGTCTCCTAAAGCTGATCCAGCTGTAGGAGCAGAGCTCCAGCTCTCCGGAGAAGAAGACTTTAGGAGGACGGCTGCTGTCGGCCAAGGAAACTAATTTACTTTCAGTTTAGCCTTGGAACAGCCATAAATGGTAAATGACCTGTATTTGTATAGCACCTTCTTAGGGTGCTACAGCCCCCCAAAGCACTTTACAACACAATCAGTTATTCACACGCTGGTGGTGATGAGCTACAGTGTAGCCACAGCTGCCCTGAGGCTAAATTACAGAGGCGAGTCTGCTGAACACTGGTGCCACCGGCCCCTCCGACCACCACCAGCAGGCAAGGTGTATTAAGTGTCTTGCCCAAAGACATAATAGCAGAGTTCTCTGGTCAGAGCCAGGATCGAACCTTCAACCTTTCAATTACTGGACAACCTGCTCTACCTTCTGAGCTGCTGCTGTCCCATAAATAAAGAATGGTCCCTAAAAATCCTCCCAGAGACACTCCATCCATCTAACAACACGTAGGTGATGAACAATGTCTTCACCGGCATGAAGGAGCACCGGGCCAGATGATTTGATTAGTCTGATGTTGGAGAAAGTACATCGCCAAACTGGCCCAGGAACGCCTTGAGGTCCGACCGGAGGAGCTGGTGGAGGTGGCCGGGGAGAGAACAGTCTGGAACTCTCTAGCTGGGATACTGCCGTCGTGACCCGGACCGGCGGAAGAAGACGAGACGAGAAGTTTCAAAGGTTTTTATCACCGGTTACATGGCGCTCATCCAAAGAGACATTATCTTCAGTGTTGGTCCTTCTAGGCCTTTGTAGTCCACCCAGGCCAGCTGCCAACCAGCTTCTGGTTGGATGGAACTCCATCACAGCAAAGGCAGAAATACAGACACTTGTAATGTGTGCAAACTGGGCTTTCAACATGCTGGAAAGGACAGCTCCATGATTTGCTGCCTTCAAACAAGCTACTTTCGCTGTCTGCTTTTCCCTTCGGGCATCAACAAAGCCATAGCTGTCAAGTATCCCGTTTAGACCGGGAAACTACCGTGTTTTACCCTGCTTTCCCGCCGTCCTCCCGTATTATTATTTTCCCGTAAATTTCCCGTTGTCATGGTCTGTGTCTGCGTCTTTCCCCATGTGTCTCCTGATGTCCTCCATCCCTCTTTAGATTCCCCTTTTGTGTCTCATAGCGCCCTCATGTGTCCTTTGTCTGCGTCTCATTTATGTGCCTTCTGTTTGTAGCCTTTCAGGTCATCCCCAGCCCCTCCAGTTGTAGCTCCAGCCTTTTTGTCCCCAGCTCGGTGTGTGTGTGTGTGTGTGTGTGTGTGTGTGTGTGTGTGTGTGTGTGTGTGTGTGTGTGTGTGTGTGTGTGTGTGTGTGTGTGTGTGTGTGTGTGTGTGTGTGTGTGTGTGTGTGTGTGTGTGTTCTTCTCCAGTCAGGTCCGGTGTCCTCCCCTGCTCCTTCCTGCTCCTCCTCCCTGATTAGGTATTGCCTTCACCTGGTTCTCCCCCCACACACCTGCAGCTCATCTGCCTCCCATTATGCCCCGGTCTATAAAGCCCTGTCTGTTTCTCATTGTCTTGTCGGTTTATTGTTGTTTGTCAGCGTGATTTATTCTGTCAGTCTGCCCGTTCCTCTGGTGTTTTTGGATCTCCTGATCATTTCCTGATTTTTGGATTTATTTTTATTTTTTGACTCATCCTACAATAAAAGGATTTTTTTACAGTATATCAACTCCTGCCCGTATCATCCTGGGTATCTGCATTTTGGGTCCAAACAGTCCTCTCTACGTGACAACCGTATTTTAAAAATTCCTCTGCCTCTCTAAAATTATCTGTAGCCTCGCGAGAACTGCCCCTACAGTTGTCGCGGGATTTGTGCAGACAGCGGCAACATAACAGGAACAACAAACGAGAGCGATGGATGCAAGTGAAGAAGGCATTCCTGACAAAAAATCAAAGAAGTCGTGTAAATATCTGGAAAAATGGGACAGCAGGATGGGACTAAGTCACGCATTTTTTAAGATTTGCAGTTGTGACTTTAGTGTCTCCCACGGGGGAAGGAATGATGTCAGTCATCATGAGAAATCAACCAAGCACAAGCGCTGGCTAGAGGCACAGAAACATGCCCAGACGATGTCGGCATTTGTGACTAGGAATACCACAGAGGCTGACCAGGTCATGAATGCGGAGGTTAAAATGGCAATGCTGTGTGCCAGAAACAATGCTTCTATCACCTTCTGTGACGACTTCCACAAGTGTGTAGCTGAGATGTTCCCGGACTCTGCTATTGCACGAAAACATTCTGCGGGAAAAACCAAATCTACGCAACTCATCAAAGGTAAGTTGATTCAAATTAAGTATAAATATTATGAAAGTGTATACATAGTCATAATCATGTCCAGCAGGCATATTAGTGGCAAATTGCCAGCTAACGTTACTGGGCATTCACTCCACAGGTGCCATAGCAGCAGAGCTAGATGATGAGTTGGCCAGAACATGCCGATCGCAGCCCTTTTCATTGATGTGTGACGAGTCGAACAACAGAAGAACGGACGAAGAATTCGTCATCCTGACCAGACTCTACGATGAGGCCACTCTGCAGGTCGCTACAAAATTCATGGAGATGCCCATATGCAATGTGGGAAATGCAGAAAATCTGTATGAAAAGCTGAGTGAAGCATTAAGGTAGGGGAGCTGCACGGTGTTGTTGACGTGTGAAGTAATTTGCATTTAATTATAATCTTACATTTAGTGTAAGCATGGATGTAATTTTGGGGGGGACAGGGGGGACATGTCCCCCCCCCCCACTTTTTCCAAAGTCAAGTTTTGACCCCTGCACTTTTTACCATCCAAAAATAATATTACGCTATATTAAATTGACACTGGCTGAGCACTAGGACCAAGCCGAAAACAATCGTTGAAGCCGGTTTCCCATTAGAACATACTGTAAAGATACGCCCCCCCCCCCCCCCCCCCCCCCCCCCCCCCACTTCTAAAGTGAAAATTACGTCCTTGAGTGTAAGACATTTTATGGCATTTTTTTCCTGTTTCCAATAGAAAAAGAGGCATCCCATGGGAGAACCTGATAGCCTTTGCCTCTGACAACGCCAGTGTCATGAAAGGCAGACACAACTCTGTTACCAGCAGACTGAAGACCAGCCAGCCCCACGTCCAGGACCTTGGCTGCATCTGCCACCTAGCACAACTGGCCTCTGGCTGTGCCATCCAAGCAGCACAGGTACCAGTGGAAGACTTCCTGGTTGGGATAGACACCCACTTTGATAAAAGGTAAATGCATATAAATAAATAGGCCTGCAGTTGATACTCTTCAGACATACACATACATTTCCAGCCACTAACTAAATAATTGTCTATATTACAGTGCAAAAAGATGTGAAATCTATAAAGAATTTGTAGATTTTACCGATTCAGACCACCTGCAGCTCCTCAGGTACTGCAGCGACCGACGGCTGAGTCTGTTAACCTGTGTCCAGAGAGAGTTGAACCAGTGGGACGCACTGCAGGTAAGGATGGTAACTCCAGCAGATACATACATCTCACTATTCGGTGTTTTCCTTTTATTTAACTATTGCCACCTTGTCTCCCCATGTACTCTGGGCCTACTTCAACAGTCATGAGGAGGTGGAGAGGAGCGCCAAAACACATGATTTAGCCAGCCATCCAGTCATGAAGATGTACCTCATGTTCCTGACTGCTGCCCTTAAACCTTAAACCTGATTTTAATATCGCCTTCCAGGTGGGTGTCAGTGTTACTGAATGTATGTGTAAATATTAAATGTGATTTTGCTGATTGTAGCATTCTTAATTCACTGATATTTTGTTGTGACCCACGATGTTTTCTACAGTCAGAGGGAGTACAGATTCACAGACTGGAAGAGGAGACGTGCAGGCTGATCAGGAGGATCCGGGGCTACCTCATACCAGCCAGGGCCACCGTAGGTATACCTCTCAGCGAGGTGGAGTATGGACAAGGACATCAGTTGGCTGATGAGGAGCAGACACAAGGCCTTCATGAAGAACGTAGAGCTTCCCATGTCCACTGAGCAGAACATCTTCCAGTGAGTACAGTACCCAGCTGTTTTATAATGGTCGCCATCAGTATGAGAGAATGTGCTGTACTGTGCCTAGAATGCTGCCACTAATGCAGTTCTTTCCTCTTACGCTGTTGTAGATCTGTGAGAAGGTTCTACGAAGCAGCGCTTCAGAAGATGTTCTCCTCCTTTCCCCTGGACCATCCACTCCTGAGGGACTTGAACGTGCTGGACCCTGCTGCTCGCAGGGGCAGGTAGATGTTAGGACAGGTCTCCATTGACCGAATGATTGCATTGATGAAATATTGCATGGTTTAGATTTGCAGCACTTTCTTTATTTTCCAGTGGAAAGGCTGGGGGCCATGTTCCCTCAGTGGAGCTCGAGTGAAGATGGGCTGAGAGAGGAACTCGTTGACTACCAGGTGACAGATAGCAAGCAACTCCCCCAAGAAGACCACAGTGACAGACTCTGGGGCCTGCTAGGGACGGATGGGAGGTTCAGTGAGCAGCCGAGGTTAATGAAGGCTGTACTCTGCCTTCCCCACAGCAACGCCAGTTCTGAAGGGGTGTTTAGTGTGGTGAGAGCGATCGTTACAGAGAACAGGACGACATTAGACACCAGCACCGTTTGTGCTTTACTGTCACGTAAAATCAACCCGGCCTACAAACACACTCCTTCCAAAAGGTGTTAAAGAACCTGCAGCACGTGTGTGTGAGCAGTCATGAGAGAATGTCAGAGCGCCACGTGAGTGAACAAGATACATGTAAACAAAATAAAATGTACATGTTTACGTTAAAGACCAGCAATGTGAAATAAACAGGAAGTGATGTGTTGACTTGTTTATAAACTGAAAAATGTAAAATCAGTAAAGATGCTTCATTTCCCCGTTTGTGTTTGCATTCAGGCTGTTCAACCAGACTGTTCACAGCCTCTCAACGCCAACACAGGCAGCCGATCAGCTTCTGATCACCGTGGTTGAGAAGTGTTGTTTAGATGTTTGCACACCTGTCCTACGACGTGAGAGACGCTAGCGCTCGGCTGTGGCGGCGGCTTGGCTCGCTGCCGGTGTCGTAAATGTTCCCTTATGTTCAAATCCAAGAACAAAGCCTCCACCCGTACACCAGCCTTCGTGTGCGGGTGCTGTGTGTTCATTCATGAGGTAAAAATGAATTTAACTGGTTTTAGCAAACGGCTGTATTGTGACAGAGTGAAGAATTCATGAGGGTCTGATTACTTACTGAACTCAATGCATTCACACCTTCACAAGAGACCAGGATGGATCAGTGCGGTTGTCACCAGGACAGATGGATGGATGCTTGTGGGACGTCTCCAACACAAGTGGGAGAGTCAGCAGAAAACAGAAATGCAGTTTAAAAAGTGAAGAAATAAAAATGGCGACCCAGCTCTGCAGACTCCTGAGCTGATGGACGTCGTCGTCGTAAAGCCGCAGTCTCTCCAGGAGACAAGTCCCTCTGGACTTCCTGTTTGGTAGGACTCTAGAGGGCGCTATATCAAATACAGGCCATTTACCATTCCTTGCCTTCGTCCAAGACATGCCAGCAAACGGAAGCGTGTGTAACGATTAGGCAGACATCCTGGGTTCTGCTCTATCAGCTGCTGTAACCAATCATTGATCAGACTAGAGATGGAAAGAAACCAAAGAGTCAAACAGAGAAACACCATTGATCAAAGGCAGCAGGAGATCAGAACTTCTGAGCAGCAGTAGATAAACCCGATGGACGAGCCACGCAGGTCCGGTCTGACGGGACGGAGCTGGAGGTCATCACCTCCACAGGAAACCAGCAGCTGGACCGTCTCTCATCTCAGACCAACCTAAAAATGAAGAGAAAGTTCTGATTGGCTGTTCCAGACTGGTTCTCCTGGACATCACCTGGCCCAGAACTCTGGGTCTGCCTTGCTTTGGTCCGTTTCTTGTTCTGTTACTAGTCTGCTTGTTTGAAGTGTACGGGTCTCTGAAACAACCTTGTCTCACTACGAGTCGGTCCTTCCGGCGGGTTCATGTCTCAGTAGGAGCTGCACAACAAACAGAACCAAGACGGGAAATGAGAACGGATCCCAGCTGAAGACGAGATGTCCCAGACCAGAGCCAGGACTCGGGATGTGGTCGTGTTAATGTGAACGACTCTGTAATGAGTCACAGGTCTGCTGCAGTAGCTTGTTTAGCTTTTATTTAAATCACCACATCAGGATCCACTCCAAACACATGTCCTGCACTGCTCCTGGGGGGGGGGGGGGGGGGGGGGGGGGGGGGGACAGGGGACAAGGGGGACATCTGGACTCAGAAGAACCACCAGGACAAGTGCTCCTGAAACTCCAAACGCAGCCTGTGTTATATATGTAGCAGGCCTTCTAGGACCCCCACAGGCGCTTTACCTCACACACACACACACACACATTCACCGTTAAACAACCAGGAGACTGATGTCTACGATGTTCACTGTTGATCTGATCAGGTGTTCGTACTGAGGGAGACCAGATCTCCTGCTGGATGAAGGAAACCTGAAGAAGAGGCGGCACCAGCAGACGTCAGGGCGGGCCGTACGGAGAAGATCAGCATTCATACGTTCACAACCAACCAGTGAGTCTGTGTTTCTGAAGGAAATCCATAACATGTCTCAAACGTGAAGCGTTTTAGGATCACAGCACAATGTAATCTGATACTTTACCGGTAACGTTTTAGTTACTCTGTCTTTTAGGAATGATGTGTTTTGTGCAGACTGGAGCTGTTTGGCTTTTATTGATCAGCTGATTGAGTTCAGACCCTTCGGTGGTGTTTGTGCTGGAGAATGTTTTTAGCAGCTGTTTGTGATTTTACACAATTATGTTTTCTTGTTAGAAACAGGTAATAATAAATGTTTGTGTCCTTTAGAAATCGTTTTGGCAGGCCTGTTCCTCGGTGTGAAAGGTCAGACGGAAGACACGAATAACTTCGTAAATTAATTAATTTAAATAACTTCCAGTAAAAACTGTAGGAGCCATGAAACAGAATTTTTTATTAATATT